TTTCCCTAAAGGAAACTGGGTGGGTTGTTGTTCAGAGACTTCACTGTTCAGTACGCAGCGTGGCATAAAACATAGGGAACTTCTGACAAAGAAAACAGACTGGCACTTTGGAGACCTGGGTTTCTCTGATTTCCTCAAGCAAGTCACTTGCCACCCACTCTCTGCCTCTTTCCCAACATGACTGGAAGCTCTTGGGGTTGTGGACTTTCTCAGTAGTTACCCAGTGCCCAACATAACGGGACCCCAAGTTTTTTATGAGGGTCTTTGGCTAACCATGGCACACAAAGGATGACAAACAGTATTTCTAAGGAAGGTGCTCTGCTGGGAGGTTGAATACAAGAAAATGAAATGAGAACTCAAAAGTATCCCAAGTACCACCAGTTCGGAGTCCAAAGAAAAAAAAAACCAACAAGATTAAGCCAAGTACCTCTGGCTAGTCTTTTTCCTTTAACTGCAAAGAAAAGCAATCTTTATGAAGTGATAAAGCCATCCAAGAATGGCCGCGGTTGTTTCTTTTAAATGAACCAGGGAGAACAGATGGTCTCCTCTCATACTGTCACAAAGGTCAAAATTAGCCACCCCTAAGACTAGCAGGTTCTTGAAATGCTCAAGTGCTTGTGTCTGGTCGTTATGACTAATCCACTCTCCAGAACAAGAAAGGTCAAATGAAGAACACCCCTCCAAATACTGCAACAACTCCTAGCCATGGCTGATGTGTAATGCACTCAGACATGGTGTCAACAGCTGCTCCTAAACCCCAATGAGTCAGCCTTTCAAAAGAGTTTGTCAGCTCTCACTGTTAGAGCTTTCATACAGATTATATTTACTCCCCAATGTTTAAAAATATCCTTCTTAAACCTTGAAAATATAAAATGTTTTCCTTACAGAATTTGTCCTTTTACCCTAGACAGCTGCCCAAGAATGTTTCATGTATTTATTTGGGAGCAAAACTTCCTAGCTCTTCTTTCACTTTCCTCTTCATGTGCTGACAGCTAAACGAAAGGCAGGCCTCTGTTTCTGAAGGCATGTACAAATGAAGAATTTCTGGTTCCTTTCACAATTTTTACCTACAAACCACAGTCAGCCTTCCACAGTACTGTGAGGTTAAGTGTTCTGCTCAACAGATAGGGTACAGAGACATTGGGTGACTTGCCTTTGGTCCTACAACAGGCATGCAGGCACAAATCCCCTATCCATCCCCTACTCTAATCACCAATCTCCCTTGGATGCTGCCATTTAAATAAAAAGACCTATTGGAAATGACAGGTGAAGAAAGCAGTCCAGGCATGAAATGCACTCTAAAGTATATTAATAGAAGGTTGCCAGACAAAACGGCACAAGGCATTTGATCGCATCATCTTAGGCTTGTTGTTCATGCTCCTTTGCATCTGGCTGCGTGATTTCTGCCAGATTCTCGGCTGGAGGAGCAGGCTAGGATTTGTCTGCTTTCCCTAACCCGTGTTGGGCTCAGCTGCAATCATGCAGAGCACTGAAAGAAATCCCTTTGAGTCGGGATTCATTCCGAACATGTAAAACCCAGACAAATGACTGCTTCTCCAAAGTGAATCCCATTTCACAGCAAGTAGGTTATTAGTGCGGAACTCCATACAAGTAGCCTGCATTCAAAAGCCCTCTGCATTATTAACAGAAGATGAGCTTTTGACATCAAAGGAGAACCATTATGTATGCTAAACGGTGGCAAAAATTGTACCCGCACTTCAAACCTTTTCAGTTCTTTGTCCCTTGTAAATCAATCAAGGTTGACAGATGCTTTAAGGAGAGTAATCTTTTCAATGATACTGTCAATGGATAACATAATGGAACATTGTCTCTGTGCTGTGTGAAGACATGGAGCTAGTCAATTATGGACAACACTTCATGCAGCCGCCAGTTTTCACTTGAAGTGCTGCTGTTGAAGTATTATAATCCCAACAAATGGCCGCAGCAGCATACAATGTAAATGAGACCTCCTGAAGCTTTGGAAAATTAATTAGTAACAACAGTGGTCCATTCCCACACTTTCAAACACCAGCCTGGTAATGTTAACGATGCACTACCCCCCTTCCCTTTGAGCAGTCAATAGGGCATATTTACATACACTATTTTTAATCTTCAACACTTTTTTTCCCCCCCTTTTTAAATGCAGGAAGCTCTGGATTCCTTTCCTCTCTTTCCCGTAGCAAACTTCACCCCTGATATTTCCAACCAGTCACGTAACCCACATGGCTGAAGCTGAAAACAAGAGAACAGAGACTTTCCCACTTGGAGACAGCAGTAATATTCACTCCTCTTGCTTCACACACGTTGGACACTTTGTGGCTGTCTGCTTTTCCAACACTTCTATCCCCTTAGCTGCCCTGAGATGAATGGCTTGGATGGATGGCAGGGGAAAAGCTTCCGGTCTCAAGAGACCAGTAGGATGTGAGTGGAAAGCCCAATGTACTGAGTGCCAGCAGCACCTAGGTCAAACTGTGGTGCACTGGATGCCAACATACATATCCGATTGCCAGCTTCTACGGAAAAGAGATTGAGAGTCAAAGGTGAGAGACTGTGCTGTTTGTTTAGTTATTGGCTTCTATTTCCTACGTCATTTTCTCAAAGATTTTCCCTTTGTCAACCGAGGCTTGTGCTAAGAGGAACACTTAATCTCCCACAGGAACAGAAAGAAATCCCACACTCGAGCACAAAATTTCTGAACTCTTATCAATTGCAGGTTTTCATTGCTATGATTTGTGAATGCCCCCTTATGTATAGTGTGGTTTTGAAACAACCAGGTGCAGGTAAGAAATTCAATCACTGAGGTCTTCTCGGACAAGAACAGACTGTTCCTTGAACCCAACTCCCTCTTCCCCAGGCTCCAAACAGCTGCGAACAGATGCAGCTGCTGTCCCTCCTCATTTAGTATGGATTTGGTCTTCTGGACTCTGGACGGTTTTCTGAGAAACCCTTGCAGTGGCTGACCACAGAAAGCTTCACACTGCAGCAGTCCCCCGAACCCCCAAAACATACAGACAATGGTTAAACAAAACTGACAATGGTTAAACAATACTAAGAGGCAAGAGAGGAAGCAGCAGCAGCCACACACCCGCCCAGGCATTACCAGGCCAGCTGCCACTGCTGATCCCAAGAAGAAAAGGGAAATGTTTGGTCTGCTAGAGCCCCCCATCCTGGGAATAGAGAAGTCAGAGGAAAGGATATCTTCTGCCTAGCCTTAGGAAAGTCAGAGACTGATCCAAACTTTTTCCCACTCTTACATAAAACAAACTACCATAGAATAAAGAAACAGACAGGAATCAGGAGGTTTCAATTCCTCCTTCCATTTGCTAGAACAGATCTGTCAAGAAAACAGTGGCACAACTCCATTTCTCTACTCACTTCCCACTCAAACTCCACAGTGCAATATGCACAAACACAAGACAAAAAAAATTCTCTACCGCATCTTGATGAGAAAGCTTTAGGCTAGCATTCTTGTCATGATGAAAATGGCCTTTTTTCCAATCACAGTTTCATTTGCTGTGCAGACTCATCTGCTTTTGTATCTGTTTTTAGATTTTGTTTCTCTAGAGCTAAACAGATGGAATGCTACGGGGTCCCTATCCTCTTCCACCCACCACCTCTGCCACAAGCTGGTTGGGATGGCACTGCAGAGGAGGCAGGCACCATGCCCCAGCTGTCCCCATCTTTGAGAGGAGACCCAGCTTTATCTCTCAGTACCAGGAGGATGAAGTATGAGCAAAAAGGGGACAACAGAGACTGGGAAAACATATGGTAGGTAACAAAGAGGGTTAAGAACATAACAGACACAAAATCAGGGTCCAAACAGTAGGTTCTTCTGTTCTTCTCTGCTTGGTGCAGGATTCCAAAGTAATTTTTAATTGAGCCTGTTTCCATTATATAGCTGCCAAATGTCATCCGCTGCCTTCCCTCCTCACAGCTCGTGGCTGAAAGTTCCCACTGTCTTGGCTGAGATACGTTTCTGAATATTCCTTATCCCAGTCAAAGCAAAATGGAACACCAAACACCTCTTTCTTGAAAGACTGCCCACTTAAGCAAACCTGGAGTGCAGAGATTGAAACAGAGCAAGGGATAGCTGTATAGAAGTAGCTTAGCTGGCAGCTCTACAGGTGTCTAAGGTGGGCCTGGAGAAGTAAACAAGCAGTTGCAGGCAGGCTTGGGCATTGCATGTTGTGCTTACACTGCTTTCAAGGAAAACTGATGCACAAAAGAGGCTATGGAAAGGGCCAGGAGGTCATACTTGGACACAAAGTTGCTACACGCTGGACCAGAGTCTTAAATCTATTGACTTCTGCAGAGCTACTGCAACCAATGTGTGCTAAGGATCTGTTCTACTCTACTTGAAACTTGCTCTAAAAACATATGCCACTTTCCAACTCATTTATAGGAGTTTACCATTTATTTCCAGTATCCAGAGATACCTACACACATACTTTCTTCCAAGTTACAAGACACGTATTGAGCAATTGCAGATTTTCTTGCAGAACAGTTTTCCATGGTAATATCAAAGAATTTCAAAAGCATGTATTGCCTTTGTCACAACTTTCAACAGAAAATTATCTAACCTTTTCTTTCAAGTTTATTATTTTTACTTCTATTTGCTATTATACTATTATTTCAAGTGTACAAGTAGAAAAAAAAGCCAATATAATATAAAAAATGAAAAAATAAAGCTGATCTAGTTGATCAAAAGACAAAAGATGTTCTGATAAAAACTAAGTGTTCCAGTAATTCAGAGCCAAATGTTACAATATGGAAGATGAAGAACCTGCTTCTGTTCATGTGTCTAATGACAATACATAAGATCACAACTTACCACTTTTCAATATGCTAAGTATAAGAGGGACGATGGTAGCTCATAATGACAAAAATTTTAAGTAGCCTTCTATTCATATAAAAATAAAATTCACACAATCCAATTAAGCCAGACATTTATCATTAAAAAATAAATTAGGAAAAAATTAATTAAGAGAAACATTGCTTACATAAGAGAAGTCTTCGGCATTCTGACAGAGTAACTTGGGAAAAACAGCCTGTCGCTGAAATCTTTCCTCATCTTCAAAGATGTTCCCATACATGAAGCCATTCATCATGGTGGAGTGGGCATGGATGTCAATATAGAACTCCAGGTTAATCTTCTGTTGAGGAAAAACAACAACAAGATAACATTCAGCATGAAATAAATCATAACTCTGTTACGTAGGTGAAGCCTCCCATAAATCCAATACTGCCATCCTTGAATCTAACCATGGTGCCAGCATCAGAGAGCCATGTTAAAGGCATTGCTTTGATGCATCCAGCCATTCATGCCTCTTTGCGGGTGCATGTGAGATGCAAAACAGGACCATTTCTTTACCTGTTCTGAGAAGGCTGGAACATTTATGCAGCACCGGTCACTGTGCAAAATAGAGCCAAAGCATTATCCTTCAGTTTAATACAGGGCTTAGTGCCACTGGTAAAAATGTGCACCTTCCAGTTCTACAGCATGATTGTTCGGGCATAGCTTTGCCATCTCTGCACAGTTCTGCATCACAATATGCAGATGTACCCTTCTGCCAGGAAAGACAGGCTCAAAATTGTGTAAATAAGACTTCAGTATTTCCTGTGCAGTTTATTTTGTTTTATAAGGAGAAATACCGCAAATGTTTTTGTCTTACTCTGCTTTGTAGTAGTAATTCAACAGAACAACTCCCCAAAACAAGTGCCTTGAATTCCTCCCAGCTTGTAACTTCCCACATGATTCTGCATCAGCTCTTGCTTTAAAAGAAAATACCAGGACCCACTAACACAGAAGTGCCTGCTCTCCCCATACCCTTCCTAGATTGGCAATTCAGTGTCAGAAGGCTCTGTAAGAAAACACTGCTCAAGTCTCCAGTCCAGGGACACATCTTTTTCCTCACATCATATATAAGTGATAATAATTCCCCTGCCATCAGTGGCTAAGAGTGAATATTCACCTTGATCACCAGGTACAGTGCCATTGACAGCAGTGAGAAGGCAAAATCCAGTACTAAGAAGTGCTACCAAAGCAGATGCCACTGGATTACCCAGAGTTTCCCCAAACTCTTGCAACTTCTAGTCCTGAACAAATGGTGCTCTGTGACTAGACAGTGACAAACCCACCCCTGTCACCTGGCCACCATGGGGCCAGTAAGAACCTTCCTTGTGACCAGAGGGTTACAGTTCAGATCTCCTTGTCCCAACAGGGGAATGGAGAAGAGCTCTGTTAGCAGGACAAAGATTATGATGCTTAGCCCTGTACCCCTCAGTGGCAAATAGGGACCTGGCCAGTAAAATACAACATGTAGCTCTCCTGCCACATGTCTCATCTGCACATAAAGCTTGCTCAGGCTACTGGAGAATACTGAGCTACAAGACAGTCCAATGTAATACAAACACTGTATTATGCAGTTCATGTGACAGCAGTGTCAGCTCTTCTAAAGAGTCTCTGATGGGGGGAAAACATCATTCGGTATGTGAAACTAATATGATACAGATTTACTTTCCCTTGGCAGAAAACCAATGTACAATACACAGTGACTGTTTAGTTTAATTAAACAGCTTAGAGAGAGTAATACTGTATCTTATTAAGCCTCTCCTATGTTAAAATGTTAGCTAATGCAATATCAATATCTGACCATGCTTCATAGGAAAAGGAACATTTGATCATATTCGACTCTAATACAATAAATTGCTTGCTCCTGCCAAAACATTATGCTGTGCTATAGAGGACCAACACTGCAATAAAGCACACATCTGCTATTCGGAGATATAGCACTGAGGAGAAAGATTAGCACTGACAGGATGAAATACCACATAGGATTTTCTTCCTTTCCAAGCATACAGAAATAAAAACCAAGATTGAGTAATATTATTTTTCATAAGATAATTTCCCCATCAGAAACAGAATTTGATGAGATCAGATGCACACTGGCATATCACCATAAAACAGAACATGTTGTAGAGTCTCAAAATGGTGATTTGATGATGAAGTGAGGAGATAATCTAGTTAAACTGGGTATTTGTAAAGCACGAATGTCCTTCACATAGCAGTCAGTGACCTAAGTCATACTTATTTTAGAACAACTAGACAGAAGTCTTTATAGGGCCATATTTACTAATATAAAGTAATTGAGAAGCACAGGTATATAACAATAGACTAGTATAATTTGCATCTTAAACAACACAAATAAAGGTGCTGGCATAAACTGTATGATTTGTGCTATGTCACACTATACTTATTCATCCATAGCTATCAAATTGTTTCCAAAAGAACGTGTCTACAGACAGGGACGCAGAGGCACAGATTACAAAAATAACTTTCCATAGGCTATCCAGCAAGAAATTCACCTGCAGAACACAGGTGACCTGAGCCTCAGCTTAGTATTCAATTGGTCAAGTCATCCAGTCTAACACAGAGTCACTAGAGAATATTTTCTGAACTCTCCTAGGATTCTCACTAAAAAAATTGCTGATAAAAGTGTTCCAGAGAATTTCAGAGAAACTCTTGGGGTGCTGAAATTTCTCTGAAGATCTTTCTTCATCATCAAAACCATTTTCAAAGGGTCTGGTTACAATGGTTATTTGTGAGGGAACAGTGTCCTTCACAGATATCACCTTCACCTAAAGAGTAAGCTTCCTGATCGCTTATTTGGAAACCACGACATTCAACAGATAGCTCATCACCCAGACAAGTGTTTAAAAACATCTATGCAGTCATTCGTTACAACATATTTCAAAAGTAATTTCCTAAGTCAGCCCACAATAACTATTCAACTGTTTTTTCTGGTCTTTGTTCCTTACCCTCCTACTGAACATATAAAAAAGTCTATTTCACGTATTCCTGCCCACTAAATATAGTCCAAATTTGCAATTGTCCATCCTATTCAGTAAGTTGTTAAACATTGCTAGAGTAATTACCAGTTAGATGTATTACTCTCAGACACTGCTGTATGTGAGCAGAAGAGTATTGCAGTGTTTCACATTTCTTCTCATCACATTCATTATTTTATCAAAGGGAAACATCTTGAGCATTCTCCATTACAGAACAGAATAATTCAGTGCATTGTTAATATAAGACACAAGTTCCTAATGGAAAAATTCTCTTCATTCACAGTCACAAAGATATTGTGACCTTAATATGGACAATACCAGCCCAGTCACTGGGACATTAAACTCAAAATTTGCCATCTCATGCCCCGAGTAGTAGACCAAGTAGTAGACAATTTGTTTGCAGACAAGTTTCACAGAAGAATGAATATATGTTCCTGAACAATATTGGTATTTCTTCTCTCTCTTTAGAATCATACATATTCATAAGTATTTTACATGTAGGAACTGTTTCACCCACTGCCACACTACAAATTTAAGCTTGGGAATAAAGTTTCATATTTCAGTTGAGGTTCTGTGGAAGATTTTGACATAATTACTGATCTCCTGCAATTTAGGCAGGATCACAGAATTAACATTTTATTAAATATATAATGTCACCTACTGATGGGAATTTCAGAAAAATCAGCAGAGACCTGACCTTCTGAAATTGTTTCTCTTTGAGATAGGGAGAATTTTAATGGGAGAACGAAGTTAAATGTAAGTGTGCATTTACATGAGCACATACAAACACACTTAAAACATAAACCAGTCCTATCTCCTGTTAAACCACAGGGGTATCTGTCAGTATCTACACAGCAGAACCAACCCTGGTTATTGCTTCTAATGCAGTAGCATCTACAAGTAAGAATGGGAATAAATTTAGAGGTGGCTCAAAGTCTCATAGTCACATTTATTTCAGCCTTTAAGCAGAAAAAAAATTAATAACCAGGCTCAAACATCTCTAGATGCCATAGCTGCCTTCTGAGAGACTTACAAGTTACATCCTACAATATGATATTAAACTCATCATTTTCTGCTTTAGAGGTGGAATGCAAAATGATTCAGATGCCTTATAAAAATGATCATGCAATTTAATTCCCTCAAGTGTCTTGTCTTTGTGCTTACAAGCAGCAGCAGAGATTTTCTCTCTCACACTCTCTTTCTTAAGTAAAGCTGTAATTACCTGGATGACCCAGCTTACAGAGTTGGAGAAAACAAAGGCAGACTTGGTCTTTCTTTTTTCTGTGTGTCAAACCAGAAATCACTCACTAGACTGACAGAGACAATGATTGAACCCCACTTTCTAGAAAACAACAGTTAACATTCTCTCTTGAAAAGAACGATCTTTGCCTCTTCTTGCCACTTACCACATAAAAACAGAAAAAATAAATAAGCAAACAAATTTCTGTGCTGAAGTTCATTTGAATCCCTGCCTTTGTGACACACACATTCTACTGTTCTCCTGAGTCAGTCTAAAGTTTCTGGCAGCTTCAGAAATATGCATATAAATTAGGGAGGGGGAAAAATGAAAGAAATCATGGATAAAAAATAAGAGTACATTGTCAAGATATGAAATAGTCAAAGTAGCACAGAAACCGGTGCATGATGCCATGTAAAGTTTTGAGAAAATATATTCTTACTTGTCTGCATTTTTATTTCATTAGCTAAATACCTTTGGAAGTTCAGTAATTAAAGAGCAAAAGCAAAGAACGATGTTAATAGCTAATGCTGATATGACCAAAGTTAGATTTTGAACAGTGCAATTATGATTCTTAAGGAAACAGAGATTTAATAAATAAATAAATACATAAAAATCAATAAATGCCATAATAAAAGGATAAATGTGCATTGAGCCCAGAACACGAGCCACTAGAGAGACAAGTGATGCAGGAAGAAGCCAGCTCTGTCCACCAGCTGTCACTTCAATATGGATTTTATTAATTCTTGTGCATAGCAATTGGTTTAGAGGGAGAGCATCCAAAAGCCTTCTTCGCTCCAATATTTCGTACAGGGGATGGGATAAACTCCTTGCAATGTTTTATACAAGTCACTAAAACCATGGCCTGTCATTAGTGGTAGAGAACATAACAGGCTCCAGGCAGACTTTGCACTCTTACTGCTAAGCCACCGTTTGAAGCAAATGGACATACAACAGTTGGCACAGCATAAGGAGTTTGCCCCTTTTGGTTCAGAAAAAAATCAGAAATTCCCAGAAGACCAGGTGTTTGATGCTTCCTCAGGTCCAGAATCTCTTAAAAGAAAATTC